AAAATATGAAATGATAAATTTAATCCAATTCCTACAGTGCAGGAGCAGGTGCTCGTGCCATCCCTTGGGCGGGGGGTGTTCCGACCTCTCCCCCTTTGTTTGCTTTTCTATTAGCGCCGGGCGGGTGATTTGTTATCCCAAATTGTAACATTCCTTATTCGCCGAAAAGGGGATGACGGGGCTCAGATTTGCATAAATTCGTTCTGTTTGCCCTTAACACTTGAATTATTGGTGTTCTCCACGACCCTCGACATACTCGTACTCATTCGGTGCAATTCTCAGCTGCAGCGGCATATAACAAAACACAACAGCCAACAACAATAACAGCTTAATTACAACAACACGATAACGAGTGGCAAATAGCAATTGTCTACATACAATTGCCAATTTCGCTTAACTTGGCCATAAAACACGGACCAGCGACAGCAGACGGACACAAGGCAAAGCAAACAACTTGGCCTTCTCAACACACCACAAATAAATCTCAATTTGTGGCACTAACACGGAGTAAACGAGGCTCAAATCGAACTGAAGCTGCAGAGGCTGGTAATACTAAAAACGTTTACCAATTGGCAATTTTCGCAAACTAAATGTTTATGGCGAGCCACAACCTGTTCGTCTTTGATTTTTTCGTAACTCCAAGCGAATGAACTAAAGAACAATTTGATTTGAAATAAATTGTGTAGCACAAGTTGTGGCGTCATTTCACTTCAGAGAAAGTGACAAACAAATTAAAAAAACGTAATTCCTAATAATACTACACCCCTGAATAGAAAGGAATATGTTCAAAAACAACGGAGCTTATATTGTTTTTCTATCATTCTAATGGGAGCTTTTGGATATAGTTATCCGATTGTCCCGTTTGTTTTATTTTTAAATTATATTTAAAGATAGAAAAATTCTAATTTTTTATATTCCAATGGTTTGCTTATTATACCCGTTACTCGTAGAGTAAAAGGGTATGGTGTATTCGTGCAAAAGTATGTAACAGGGAGGAGGAAGCGTTTCCGACCCTATAAAATATATATATTCTTGATCAGGGTCACTAGCCGAGTCGTATGAACGCTGAGATCTCGGAAACTATAAAAGCTAGAAGATTGACATTTTGCATGCAGATTCTAGGAGTTCCTACGCAGCGCAAGTTTGTTTCAAAAGGGTGCCACGCCCCCTCTAACGCCCACAATCGCTTATATACGATTTTAAAAATTTCAATATTTCGGAAAAGTAAAAATGCAGTTTTATTGTGTTTATAAATACCTATCGAAATGTAGAAGAAATTTTTTAAATCGGACCATTCGTTAAAAAGTTCCGGCGGATCAAAGTGTTTATCTTCATCTCCTTCGCTCTCCCTTTAGCTGAGTAACGGGTATCTGATAGTCGGGGCACCCGACTATAGCGTTCTCTCTTGTTTAAGCTAATTTTCATCGAATTCTAATGGAATATTTAATGCGATTTCTTTTAGAATATGGTCCAGTGATGTCGCTCTAAATTTTGTATTTGGTGTCAAAATAAGTCGCTTCAGACTGTCGTTCGGGACATTCTTTTTCACCGTTTTGTTAAGTGAGTTTATTTAATGGTTGTTTTTCTTTAATTTGATAATTTAACATGTTAATCTGGCATTAGGTCCAGAAAAGTGACACATATTAGCATCCCAATAGGATAAATTAAATACGGAAGACAATTAAAAAAAAAACTCAAAATTTAATTTTTGCGTAAGATAGTAGGTTTTGTTATTAAAATTGACCAAACTATACTCCAATTTCTTAGTTTAGCTGGGAATAAAACTAATTATAAACTTATATTCAAGTTTGAATCTTAAATGATCGTATGTATAAATTTTGAAAGGTATTCGGAAAATCAAACCTTTTCAATTACGAAAATCATACACTGATTTTTAAGCACTCATAAAATTTGAAAACTGAATTTAAGAATTCTCCTTTATTGTTATTCGTGAATAATCGTTATTGGAATCAAGACGAAAGTACTCTCAAATTTGTTGTTTGACATAAAGCGATATTGAAACAAACATAAAATTAGCCCCAATTTTTGTTCAAGTCGAAAACATTAAATTAAAATTTCTTATTTAGTACTCGTAGATACATCCATAAAACCTTGAGTAAACTAATATGTTTATACCCGTTACTCGTAGAGTAAAAGGGTATATTAGATTCGTGCAAAAGTATGTAACAGGTAGAAGGAAGCGTTTCCGACCCTATAAACTATATATATTCTTGATCAGGATCACTAGCCGAGTCGATCTAGCCATGTCCGTCTGTCCGTCTGTCTGTCCGTCTGTCTGTCTGTCTGTCTGTCTGTCTGTCTGTCTGTCTGTCTGTCTGTATGAACGCTGAGATCTCGGAAACTACAAAAGCTAGAAGGTTGAGATTTTCCACGCATATTCTTGGGCTTCCTACGCAGGGCAAGTTTATTTTAGCCGAGTGCCACGCCCCCTCTAACGCCCACAATCGCCCACTAACGATTTTAAAATGTGTCTAGCGCCCACACCTTTTAAGATTTCCGAGAAGTATAAATGCAATTTTGGTGTGCATATTTATACCAATCGAAATGTAGAAGACATTTTTCAAATCGGACCATTCATTAAAAAGTTATACGCAATCAAAATTTCTATATCTATCTCCCTCGCACTCCCTTTAGCTGAGTTACGATTATTAGTCGGGACACCAACCCGACTAGTGAGTGACGGGTATTAAATAGTCGGGACACGAACCCGACTATAGCGTTCTCTCTTGTTTATCTTTAAATTCCTCCTCATCTGTTTTTACTTGCTGGCATACCTCAAGCCAACAACAGTGATATCTGGCCATTTGGAATTATACTCCCCACGAGTGCTTCTTGTTAAACGCTTCGATGCTTTCGCATTTGCTGCCTGGGCCCTAGTTGCCTCCCTGATAAATTGCTATAAATTAAATTAGGCTCAGTCACACACCAACACACAGTCGCATATGCACACAACTCAACTACACATACTTTGTGGTAATAAGTGGCAAAACAAGAATTATTTTTCATATGCTGGCCCGCCTCAGTCTCATAATTTTTGCCCACCCTAACTGGGCCCTGCCTTTTTTTCGAAGGGGTCAGTCTGTTTACCTTTTGTTGTTGCTGCTGCTGTTGTGGTTACGAAATTGTTATGGTGCCCCCTGGTTTTTCTTTTCGCTGCTTTTGACCCACCCAGACAGGTTGGTGCTTAAAGGGCGGTGCACAAGAAGTGGAAAGAAGTGTAACAACAACCAGGGCCATATTAAACCATTTGACATCGCATTTAATATGCTTGCTCGGCTTGTTTTTATTAATTTTTATTGTTCGGGCTATGCTTGATTGTAAATGGTTTCATAAATTATAAGAGATAAGCGGATGGGGCAGTGGTTTCTTGTGAGTCGTTATTGAACTAGCAGCTAGAAAGTAGAAAATTGAAGTTTAGGGATACAAAATCTAGTTGCTTTCCTTTTTTCACATTTAAACTAAGAAATCTTTTTTATTATTCAAATGGGAAACAAAATCTGTTCCTATTTTAATCCTCTTTCTAGGACGCTCCATACAGAATTTTCGTTCAAACCCAACTCGGATCTGAAACCCGAGGACATATTGTTGTCATGTTTAACATATCTTAACGCTACTCAATGCTATGCAGAGGGAGACATATAATTTCAGCGCAGTTGGAATAACCAGTTTCGGCGGGAGCCAGAGCTGACTGTTCGAACATCATCAGCGCTCGAGTTCTTCATCATTTGTAGCATCAGCGTCAAGATCATTGCTCATGTTTACAATGATGACAGGCAGCAAAATAAGCAGGAGCTGGCCAAGAAGCGGCGGAGGAGCCGACATCCAACCAAATCAAATGGGAGCTTCTCTGTGGGATCGGACCAGTAGTTAACAGTGGCAGTGACTGCTGCCCGCTTCCATCAGGCCCGACTTGAAGTTCGGAATTGAAGCTATCATAAATCTGTTCGTCGCAAAAATCTACACACAATGGGGCGTTTGCAAACGCATTCGTTGATCGGAATGCGACGACGAACTCTCTGAATCTGCCTCTTGACTGACTGCGGAATTGGAAATGCGAGCGTGATCGAGCAATGCTTTATTTATCAGATATTGGAAATATCGGAAATGTTTTTGTGTTTTAAATGATTTGTTTGGAGACTACTATGTAAGAGAAACAGTTTTAAACTCACTAAAAGTAAACGTCCTAAGCAAGCAGTGGAATATTATTTGGCTGAACCCAAAGTCGAAATATTCGATTGAAATTATAAAAATTATCAACAAAATGGAATAATTAACTGAAGTGTTAGATCTTTTTATCCAAGCTAAAGGACAAAATTGTAAACTGTGTCGACCATTATCAATCTTGTTTGATTATACAATAATACATATTTTTGTTTTCATTTTTATACTAAGATACTAAGAGAAGATCCAGGATTTGGTTCAGAAACCAAATATTCTATAAGTTTTTACACAGTTAGGGAAGCTTGAAAGTCCTAGGCTGGTTTCTCCCCTTATTTATCGTTTTGTTTTTAAGGGGACGGCGAAAATATAAAACAAAATATAGTTGTCTCATCTCTTTCACAATGTTGGCTACGCCAAAACGAGGAGCTTGCAGTGCTTTCTCTTCACTTTCTCTTCTTAATGGATCGATAATTGAGTGTATGATCCGCAATCACGCTGTCATCCCTAGTCGCATCTCCAACTGGAAGACCACTTGGAGGTTCTGGTTGGATTTGTTATTTTACAATGCAGCATTGTTTTGGTTGCTGTGGGCTTTTGCCCAGAGTTTTGCCTTCGCCGCTGTTTCTTCTGCCCGAGCAGTGTGCTGATTTATGGCATCTTTCGGCATTTCGGCTACCGGCCCCCAGCCTTTATGATTTGTCATAAATATGTCCCCTCCGTCCGATCGAATCGGATAGGATAGGATCGGGTCGGATCAGCGAATACAATCAGCAGTTGTCCTGGCTGTGTTAGCTTTTCTGGGCCTGGGCTCTACTTACTCTCGATGGAAACGGACGTTGCCCACGTAGAGCCTCATGCAAACCGGAAGCGGCTTCCGAGAGGACAACGAGCGCTTGAGATGGCAAATGGCTGCTGCCAAATGCGTTGCTTTCCATCTGCAGCTCGTTTGTGTTTTGATTTGGTTTTGACTAATTTGGCACTAGGGGGCACTCATAACCTCACTTTCGCTTGTGTTTCAGTGTTGGCACATGCACAGATCACTCGATATCCTGAATTAGCGGTTGGGAATTGTATTTGCGCGTCGGTAAAACGGTAGCTCGGATCAGCTGACGGTTTTGGCTCAGGCTCTCTCTCGCTCGCTCGACACGCACGTTCGCGCTGCAGAATTCCAACTGAGGCTACTTGGAAACCAGTTGCCGTTAGTCGGCCCATGTGCTTCCTCTTCCCAGCCTCGCTGCTGCGCAGTCGACGTCGGCGTCGCCGCGTAACGCCTGGCGGCCTCTGATTGGCCAGTGGCCACAACCGGTTTGGGTGCGCTCTCGCCATCCCGCTTTCGCGCAAGCCCTCTCCCACTGCTGGAGTACTTTTACATTATGTTCACCTCTTTGGTCGGCGAGTTTGTTTTTGCTGCTGCATTATTATTCCAAAATGGTTGCATGTTTGTCCGTTGGCCATTGCCATTGTACGCCTGTTTGTCTGCCAGCACCTGGTACTGGTACTCCCCGGATTTCCCCCGCCCTCGCTGTCATTCTCTTTCTCCACCTCCCCCTCCGCTTCCATCAAGTTCTGACACTTTGTGTAAATAAACCGTATGGGAAACATTTTTACTTTTGGCTTTGGCATTTTGTTGTTGTTTGTCGGACACTGGCCTGGACAAAAGTATCTTGGAAGTAGTCTCTTTCTTTTTTGCCCCTGCAACTGGGTTTTTGCACACCGTCCACTTAATATAGCGCATTACTGTGGTATTTATTGGGCGCGAAGTGTCGAAAATATTTCAAAAGTCGGGTGTTCCGGAATTGAATTTAGTAGGCAATTGCGGCTTTTCTAATCATAAGGTATATATCAAAGATTAACTTTTCTAGCAATTGCTAAAATAAAACTAATTGAAATGCATTAAATTAGGCCTATTAAATTTAAAAAAAATTGTTTATTACATTTAATTATTATTATTATTATTCAATAATTTATCAGTTTAGAAAAGTAGCAAAAAGCATAAAGGCACAAATATTAAAATGTGTACTCAATATAAAAAAATCAAAAAATAAACACAAAAGTTAATTTTAGAAGGAAATAGTTTGATCCACTGTCAACTGGCCAACACACTATCTACAAACTGAAATAGTTGTCACACAATATTACTGCAAGACCCAACTGAAACTACAAGTATTGTAACAACAGCACAGGAGACAACCTCCAACAGCCACTGTGTACAGGGGACAATATAAAAAGCTCAACCCATCTGCTCGCAACTTTTTATTTCGACCTCGTTGCCTTTGCTGAGATTTCCAATATGCCGGACTAACTAAATAAAGTATTTTCCTCGCAATTTACTTGGACGGCAGGACGATGGGAAAGGGGTGCAGATTCGTGTAAAAAATTCGAAAACCTTTCTGACATGTTTATGGGGCCCTGTCTGTCAAATCGAGGCAGTTGACACCACTACCGCAAGCTCCCCTCTCCTTTAATTGGTGGCTAGTAAATTTTCTTTTTACCATCTTTGGGTTCAGGGATCTCCTCGGAAAGATTTCTTCTAATTTTTTGCTCATTAAATTTACATTTTAAGAATTCCTGTGCGAGCAGAGAAGCTTGCACTTTATAATTTCCACCAGCCTGCCTTTAGGTTTATTACCCATCTCTGTCAGTGGGAGGGAGTGCGCGATACTGTGATACAGTGATACTGTGAGTGTGTAAAGAGGGAGAGGGTAATGGGAGAGATCTACAGTACACTGAAGAAAAATCTGATGCTGGACAGGTAAGTATCTTTTGCTATTTAAAAATGCTTGCCTTTATGTTTTCTAAAAGAATATAAAGTTTTGTTTTTCAAATTATCTTATTAATTTAGAAAAGGTTTTTATTATTGTTTATCTAAGCTCATTCCTTTTAAAGGGCTTAAACAGCTAATTAGGGGTACTAGACGGACAATTTATGTGGCGCACTGTCATATTAAATAAATTGGTATTATTTAAAAACTGTAAATATTTTAGAGATACCGAAGTATACTATACACCCACAGAACACCAGATTAAAAGAATGTATTTAATATTTTTAGTTATGATTAAACACTATCTTGAAATATATATTTAGGAAATTTAAATAAATTTACAAAAAGTTTCATATTTTTCTCTTTATGGTAGTGGGAGTTGAAGGGAGACCCCAATATTGGGCACTGCGGGAAATCAGGGAACGAGTCCCACAGTTATAGAGACTGGGAGTGCCAGAGTGAGACAGCTGGGAGGAAAGCTCGGGAGTTCGGAGCGCATGCGCCGACGTTGGAGGTAGCCTACATTATGTGTCTATTTCTTGTACATAGAGTGGTGCTCCCTCGAAGAGGTAACTAAGTCTTCCTTCGACTGGTGACTGGTAACTGCTAACTGGTAACTGGCGACTGGTATCTGGAGGCAACTGGCGAAAACGTAGGGCGAGTGCCATGTACAGGACTTGTACTGCATTTCGGGTTGGCAGTAGATTTTTCATTTTATTTATGTGCTGCCTTCACTCTGCTGATTGCCTTTACTTATTTCTGCCCCCACCACTGCGTCTTATTCTTCTCTTTGTCAGTTTGTCAGCTTCCCGGCTACAAAATTAAATACTTGTCTCTGGTCCGATTTCTTTTTTGTTATCTTTCGGGTGTGTGGGCGCGGCTCTATATATAACCAACTGTCGTCTGTCTTGGCCACCTCCTCATCTTCCGACTACTGGCTATGTATGTGCTTTGTACAACTTGGCCTGACAACTAATTTATGTAGTGACCGGAGCAGCTGCTACAACTTTAGCTTTGCTCAGTTCTTTAATAATCTGGCTTTTTTATTTTGGCAAACAATTTCTCATAATTTAGTTTGTCTAGGTGACGTGATACAGTCTTATAAGTGGACTTTTGTAGTGCCGCAAAATTAGATATTAATTGGTGAGAATTTAATAGTTAGTATATTATTATGCTTAGTTGTTAAATTTAAAAACATTTCTTTTTATTTTTACTTGAGATTGATTACCTCTGAATATATTTTTATTTATTTTATTTTGTTTTAAAACATATGGGAATTACGTAAAAATCAAGTTATGCCAGTTTGTTTTCCGCTTTTTTTGTAGAAATATACCATACCGTCAGTACCATTCAGTAATATTTATACATGTATGTATGTATATTTACCTATTGCTCAATAAATATAATCCCACTTAATTTTTCTTGGTTTTAAAGTTAGCGTCCTTTCTATGACTTAAATAAAATAAATTAATATGTAGATTAATTGCTTTTGAAATACTTTTCTATATGTATTTCTCTTAAGAAACCTCCTTGATTTATCTGCAGTAATCCTGGTTCGATCGACACATCTACGAACTTACATAATTCCTTTTCCAATCTCATCCCCTGCACCTGCTTACTCGGAAAAATCTCAGGAAAATCCGGGTAACGCCTCCGAATTAATTGAAACCGCAGAACAAGTGCCACAACCGTTCGGCTGTCAAATCTGCCACAACCAATCCCTCGAACGAACCCCCAAAAAAGTACCAGTAAAGATAGAAACAAAAAAAAACACAGATGCGTCTAACATAAAAAAAACAAGTGATAAAACGAAAAACAGAACGCAAAAGCAATCCCCCACAAATCCCAGACAAATGTGCTGGCGAAAGAGAATAAAAATTTACCAATACTTTGTACTTTTTCCATGTAAATATGAATGGAAATGAATTACAAGCGAAATAAATGTAAGAAAAAATTGCATGAAACAAAGCAAAATCGTAAAAAAAGCAAGCCGCAAGATATGGAGTGGGTGCAAAAGCGAAAGAGAGAGAGGGCTAACATGGCTTTCGGCTTGGGTTTTTTTGGATTGGGTGTTGGGTATTTTTTTGTGGTTTTCGGTAGCACACAGTCGCAATGTTGACATGTTCCAAATGCAATTTTAACAGGATTTGCAAGGACACATTTGCACAGAGTGACAGAAAAACGCAGCGCAGCAACAACAAAGTCAACTTTGTCAACCCCCAACCCCGTATCCCTCATAAAAATCCCTGCACTCGGAGAAATAATATTCATCAACAACAGACTGAATAAAGTTTGCATATAATAATGAATAAAAAGTAAATTTTTATTTCAAAAAGAAATTTTTTTGCCAATTTATATTTCTGATTGCTAGAATTTTTTACATTTTTTATTCTTTAGCACAATTTTTTCTTTTAGTGTGAGCCTGTGTGATGTGCGTGGCTGGCATAACTTGCGGCTTAAAGGAATCAACTTGTCATGTTTTTGTCGTCGGCATTGATTTTCCACTTTCCACGACCTGCGACCCAACCAGACCGCACTCACCCCTGCATCTGCGCCCCTCCCCCATTTCTACGAACGGTTTGGGTCATCTGTTGTGATGTGGTCTTAACGCTTCATCAATATGCTTTTCCCGACGTCGCTAATTTTGCGCTTTAGTCAACCTCTGAGCCGGCTACGTGTGGCAGATTTATGTCTCATCTATGCGGACTTTCTCCCCCACAAGCCAAAAAACAAGTGGACATCGTGCCATCCTTTGGCATCTCCCTCAGTTCGTGTGCATGTGGGTGTTTTTAGTGTTAATCCGTCAATGATAAGCTCAATTTGTTGTGGTCACTCCAGTGACAATGGGCCGTTAGCCCACTGTGGGTGATATTGGGCGCTAGGTTATGGTTGGGGAAAAAGACCATTAAAGTGTATTGCAGACGGTTCGAGATGGGAGTTATGTTAAAGAACTTCTTCCGATATTTATTTTGTATTTTATTTATTTAAATCTACAATTCTTTTATTTTGTATATAAATTGTATTCACAAGATCGGATTTTAATCAAAAAAGTTAGTTTTAGCTTTTTAAATAAACAATGTATTTTTTAAAAGTTAAATTTTTTGTTATATTTTTGATTAAATGCATAGTAAAGTTTAATTTTTTCAAATCGTTTTTATTTTTTCATAGCAATTTTCTTAATTTTGCTCATTTCTCGAAACTTCCCTGTGCCCTGGTTGTCTTGAACTCTCCCTTAATGATAAGTCCTTCTCTAGTTGGCATCCCACATGCATCATCTTAATTTTAGTTCGCAACTAGTATTACTCATCCGGAACACATGTGCCCGCT